CTGCAAGTGGGAAGTTTTCAGTCCGCAGCACAGCCCTCTGCACCATCTGTTTGGACCAGTGACACACTCTGCTTGTGGCCTCCATGGGGATTTGCTGATAGTGGAGGGTTGGTAAGACTCAGGGATCCTGATTCCAGCCAAGCTTGTGGTCACAGACCCTTTAGCCAACCTTCTTCCAGTGCTTCCACATTTTCCTTTGACACCTCCCAGTGTTAGTCTTCACCCTGCTCCCAGTAACTTTGAGAATTGGAGGAGAAAGGGACTGGTTGGACAGTCTCTTTGGCCAACTAGTCCCAATCTCCCCTATCTTCCAGTCTGAGGTTCTCTCCTCTTCCTCCTTGGTTTGTATTCAGAAACTGTTTTTTTCTCTGACTGCAATGTGGTAAAGGTGCAAGCCTTTCCCATTAACATGTAACAGAGGTAAGCTGATTTCATGGCAAGGACAAGTTCCATCACTTATTCCAAAGAGACCGTCACTTTTCAGAATGAGACACTAACCCAAAGGTGACACATCCTCATTTGTAATTAAAGTTTTATTGTCAACAAAATAATTTTCAAATACCCAGTATACATTCACATACATGCTGCCCCCATGAAAAGCCAGTGACAATCACAGTAATGGTTCTGAAAAAAATAAAAATCTGAGGGCTGGGTTAGTTTCCCCACCTAATTTGACATTACATTTGTGCTTCCCAGGCACAGATGATGTATCTGTACCTAATTAGGGTCTGATCCAAAGTCCTTGGAAGACTCCTGGTGACTTTGATCATGCCCTCCTATATTCTAAAAAGACAGTTCTATACTATAAGTACATAGTAACACAATTTATTACTTAGGATAGTTATATAACAGTGAGCTGACAGATCATTTATCTATTCCACACTGAAATTAACAGACAGCCTTCACTTTCTGTACAGTACATGGATAAAAATGTTGCTTTCTAGGTACCGAGCACCTTTGCTCTGCCTTGTGACAGCTCCACCTTCTGCAGCCCACACTCAGTGCACCATCAGTACATTCATTTCTAAGAAGACGGTGCCTGTGAGCAGGTGGCTCTCAAGGCACCATTTGATAATCATTCTCTCTGGGTTGCATCTAAGCCTTATAAAGCCACTCACTCCAAGCCTGTCTAAATCCCCTGCTAAGCCATGTTCAGGGCTTGTTTTGTGCGTCACATTCATTAACAAAGAACTATGCCTACTGAAGTACTATCAATAGACAGGCACATGTACTAACCCTGCCTTCCCCTTCCACTACTGAAGATCCCATTCTCTTCCAGTCACATTGTTTTAGGGCAGGGCTATTCAAGTAGCAGCCCAACGGCTGCATGCAGACCGTGAGGGGTAATATGTGGCCCCAGGGCTCCCACCCAGCCACCATTCCCCGCATCGCTCCAGCTGCAATAGCAGTCTCTGGGCTCCCACTCCCTCAACCAGCCTCCATTCCTGGGGGTGGGGCAGTGCAGTGTGGTATGGTCAAGGAGGCTGGGGGTAAATCTGGGGCCATGCAGGCGTGGTGTATGTGTGTGAGGGGTGGGGAAGGGAGAAGTGGTGGGGTGGGGTGGGGGAAATGCATGGTGTGCAGCCCAAAAAAGCCCATGGCTTGTCCTGGTGCAGCATACAGGTGTATAGAAGGTTGCTGCTTAGAAGGCTGACTGCCCTGTTCTATGGAGTCCCACTTTTACCATTAACTCTGTTTTAGTGTGATTAATACCAGTATGTCAGGGAATCCAAACCAAGGGAGCTGCAAGAAGAAGGACAACCAGGGTGGCCTTTGTAGAGTCCTTCAAAACCTTCCCCTAGGACAAGACAGGATTTGCCTTTCAAATGCTTCATATTGTGGGGGGTGGGTAGAAGAAATGGTATGCTCTGCAGAAGCTCCCTACCAATCTCCCCACCTCCCCTAGCTCCAGTCAAGCCACACTGCAGGTGAGGACTGACATGAAGTTCAATCAACCTCACTTCCAACAGCAACTACTTAAAGCACTTCAGAGTCAAAGGCCTCCCATAGACTATAACAATCTTTTAAGCATGTGCTTGTCATCTGCACAATATCCCAACACTTTGCTGGAATGGGGTGCAAAAGGAAGGTTCATCTGGGCACCCCAGGCTAGCATGCCCAAGGTATGCCAGTTTCTGTTGCCAACAGAGCAATGCAGCTGACATCATATCTGGCCATCTTTGATTCCCCAGCCTGAAAAACCAAATCCCTATTTACAGCTACAGTAGTCTTTAGCATGAGTTCAGGGGAGAGACTGAACTCACACTTCCAGAACTGCAGCAGAACTGCTTAGCTGCTCTGCCACTACACTCCAAGAAAGCAAAAAATCTCCACCTTATTCCAGCAGTGTCAAGTATCCCAAGCTATATTTCGAAGCCAACAGCTTCTCCTGCTGGCAGTTTGGTATACAAAGGCATCACCTATACACACATAAGTTAATTTTAAAATCCTTAAATGATTAAAATTCACTGAGGACCATTAACTAAAATATGTTTTCAATTCAGAACAATAAGAGAGTCCCATCTGCAGTGGCTATTTCTAACATCAATGTCAGCATAGCGTGAGCAAAAGTGATGTTGGCATGCGCTGTAAAGGTGTATTTTTCTCATAGAGACTGTAGCAGCTTTGTGAGGAAAGTCTCACAGCAAATTCTAAAGTTTCTTGATGAACTGGTTTCATATTGAATGTTCTGAGGATGCTATAAGGTCAAGGGTCAAATGTTTAGCTGCCATGATCTGCATTGCCTGAAATAGCTAGTGGTGTTGATTGCTCAGCTTCGGAAAGTCTTTTTTAAAGAGTCTGATCAGCAAAAAGGGTGCCTGTTCAGGCAACTCGCATTGGGCTCCCAACTCTTGTGATTCTCAAAGGCCACTTTTGAGAATCAGGACTAAGAAGCCTTAATACTGCAGCCTGTTGAGTGAGTCAATATAATGAAACGTTGCTCCCAAAGCCCAGCTTGTTTCAACGTCATCAATTTTTCGGGCGAGCTGGTAAAAGCAAGGATAGAAATTATCACACACTGTTACAACGCTGGGAGCTTGAGTAGCAACTCATTCCAAATGCAGTCCTGAGAGACAGTACCTTAAACACCTGGCTCTTTGGGAAGCCCAGCTCCTGCAGCAGCACACTGATGTAGGTCAGGTCCATACAGAGGAAAGGATTGTCTCCGGGACTGACCTCCATGGTCTTACACACTAAGAGAAACAGAAAGAGGGAATCCAGCTTTCCATTACAGAATGAATTATTAAAACTGCCTGCCATGGAGTCTGTGTCTGTGCCTGGGGGGAAGCAGAGGGTACAGGAAGAAGAAAAACAGATGCCAAGATTTTAAGTGGCTGCTTGAAGGCCAAGCACCTGAGCCCATATGCTGGAGCTGAAGGAAGTATTTTCATTTTCAGAATTGCTCCAACACCTAGGACTGAAGTGACCTGAAAAGCAGATAATTTATTTAGGGGTCTAAACATGGACACAGGAATCTTCCACTTTTGAAAATCCTGACACAGGATTTCCTGAACCTCCCCTCTAAGGAGCCAACACAGGTGATAATATGTATTTCCAAATCACTGTTCTGTTAGTTGAGAACTTTTAAAAGAAAAGAGAGCCATTTCAGCTTCCCCCCACATTTCTTACCAGGCTAGCAAACAAGCCCCTGACGGGGAGAGACCCTAAAAGAACCTTTGGATCTTAAAGGACTGTTCTGGTATGTAAACATTTCTGCCTGCTGCCCTAACATTTAAGTGAGCAGGGAGTATTGCTTACTGTAATAGCTCCCCAAACAGGAAAACAATTGTTGACATTCACAGTCAGATTCTTACATACAATGACTTTGTAGACAGCCAAAATATTTACCTAACTGCTCAATCAGTTTTGGATACTAGTAAAGTTTATCTGTCTCTCTAAACCAGTTTATGACATGGCTTGTAAAAGTTAACTTAAAAAAGTTAACTTGTTTTGTGTTTTTTTTTTTTAATTATGAGCAGTTATACTTCTTAATAGATGTATCAAAAGGACCCCAAAAGCTTTTACCAATCTGTCATCATCATCTACCTTCAAAACATCAGGAATCTCAAGCCCAATCTTTTGTTTTTCACTGGATAACTTAGACAGTGAGACACAGTTAGCTGCGTGAGTCTGGAGTCAAGTAAAAGTCAGAGTAGGTTTGCACCTTATAGGCTAAATTAGAGATACATATAGCACAAGCTTTCCTGAGCTGCAACTCATTTAATAACGTACTGACACTGTCAACAGACATGGACTGTGAACAATCCTAGCCTTTACTTGGTAGGCCTAGAATGCCAAATCTTGCACAAAGACACCTTTTCTCCCAAGTGTTTCTAAACCATTTCAGTTGCTTGAATGTTACCCAAAATCAGAGAGATTTAATGGGGTAGAATAAAAATTATTTCCTTTCCAGTTTATCAGGTTTAATCTGAATGGCATTTCTGATGTCAAAACAATAACAATTATTCAGTTATCCATAAAATCTTGTAGAAAAACCTGGGGGGTTAGAACCTACATTTCTTGTATGAAAACAAGCATGTTTACATTTTTCAACCATCTAGACATTTGTTTTTATGCATCAGAAAGAGGCAAATAGAGGCACAAATCAATTTGTCCTCTTTCCAGATCATTTTCAAACATATGAATCTTGAGGGGAAAAAAGCAAAGAAAAATTAGAGTAGAAGTGATTATGCTAAAATTAAGAGCACAATTCACATATTTGAAATATATGATTTTCACCTAACTATTAAACAGCATGTCTGTTCAAAAAATCATAGAGAAGTAGGGCTGGAAGGGACCTCCAGAAGTCATCTTATCTAACCCCCTGCCTGAGGTAGGATCATCCTTATCCAAACCATCCTATACAATCTATAATCTGGTATGCTTGCATTTTATTACGAGAGCTCAAAAAAGGTACTAGCACCAGCAGAAATGCAACATTTTCACAGATACCACACGCCCACAAATAAGACACATGCCTTCTTTTTGGAAGGCAGAAT